AAATCATTACAGGTTGTCCTTGACTTACAACAGTTTGTTTAGTGACCATTCAAAATTACAATGGCACTGAGTAAAATGACTTATGACCATTTTTCATATTTGCGACCATTGCAGCATCTCCCATGGTCACGTGATTAAATTCAGATGCTTGGCAATTGATTCATATTTATGACGGTTGCAGTGTTCCAAGGTCATGTGATCAGCTTTTGTGACCTTCTGACAAGCAAAGTCAATGGGGAAGCCAGATTCACTTAACAACCATATTACTAATTTAAGAACTGTGGCAAGAAAAGTTGTAAAATGGGACAAAATTCATTTAACAAATGTCTTGCTTAGCAACAGAAATTTTGGGCTCAGTTGTGGTCATAAGTCGAGGACTTTTTGCATGTTACATCTATCCAACAAATCTGTCAAATGAATCTCTAAAATCTCTTGTTTTAATTGTTTGCTTCTATGCTTAAGCTCTTGCTGATGGGTTAGGTTGAAATTTTATTGTTGCTCTTGCCATTGCAAAACCTTTATATATTTATTCACTTAGAACTGGATGACCTTATGGATCTATAGCTATTGGATTTTCACTGTTATTTGCTTAATTATTCCCACTTTATACCTTAAGAAACCTTAATTCCAAGCTGTTTTTTAAAGGGATGTAGTTCTCAACAATAAACCTGTTCCTGGTACCAAGATAGATAAGTACAGTATAAAATTTGGATCCTGGCCAAATGCTGTTAATCTGCCGGTTTTTCAACTTGACTTCACCCTTCTAAAAAAAATAAAAGCCAGTTGTCACAATTGACTTAAGATATATCATAGGAAGCAGCAGTAATGTCCTATTGATCTTGCAGTTGCTCTTTTAACACAATTCCAAATAGTGTATGAAGCTTTATTGTTACATAAATCATTTACAGTTTTCTTATGTAGTGAATATTGTGAATTACTATTCTCTGTTTGCTATACAATGGCAAGAAAGTAAAGGGAATATGAAGTAACCAGAGAAAGAAAGAATTGAAAATAACAAAAGTGTGGTATAATAACTTTATTTAGGCATTATTTTATGTTCAGTTAATAATTTTGTATGAGCAATCCAACATACAAGGAAGGATGGATCTCTTCACTATTCCAGTTGTATTGAAGATTTAAGTCAATAGGTACATTTGCCTCTATAACTTCCAGTCTTTGTTTATATGTGAAAAATTCCATGAGCTCCTACATGAGTTCTACCTCATGAAAAGCAATAATACATAGAGATAGGATCCCCTCTGGAGATGCTGTGATGGCTCCCTCTGGTGCTGGTTTTGATGATGACAAAATAATTGGCTCTGGGGACATTTGAGAGGGACTATAGGAAGCACCAGGGGGACATGAAAGGCTCTGTGGCAGAATCAGATGGTCAGGGTGAAACCGTGCCAGGAACATCAAGGGAATCCAAGAGGGAGCAACTGGAAGAACAGCTGGCTGTGCAGGCTGGAAGAAAAGGCTCAGCTGCAGCTGTGCATTGCAAAAGAGAAGTTGCCACCCTGCCTGATTCTGGGTCTTGCAGAGTCAAGCAGTGGGAGGTGCAATGGAAGTCAGTGAGATTACTCATGAGGAGGTAGCCTCACCCCCTCCTAAGGAGCATATCAGTCAGCGCCTCTTTACCTTGACCCTGGAAACCTGGAGACAGGTTCATAATCCATCCGTGAATGCTCATTGCCTTGAACTGATTGAGACTGTGCTGCTGTTGTTGTGCCTTGCACAAATTGAAGTCAAGTTGCCATCATCATGGCTTATATCCATTGAAGTCAAGTTGCCTTCACTGTGCCTTGAACCTGCAAGAGTCAGGTTGCCTTCATCATGCCTTGAACCTATCAAAATCAAGTTGCCTTCCCCATGCCTGGAATCTGTAGAGTCATGGTTGCTTTTGGTGGTTGCTCTCACCCTGCTCATCGTTTATTAATTCATCTTTCTGGCATTGCTCCCCACACCATGCCTTAGGTGCAGAAGAGGTTGAGGCTTGCCTTGTTCCCATTGCTTTAGCTGTGTCCAGCCAGAGTTTTTGGAGAGGTCACTTGTAACTGACTCTAAGGACTGCACTATCCAGAGAGTGGGACCTGGGGAATGATTATGGGATTGGTTGTGTGAAATAAACATGCTTAACCCTGGGTCATGATGTGTATGTGTGGACTGGGACAGTACAGATGTGCTATAAGCATAGAAGTATCTCTCCCCTTATGTCACCAGCACAAATAGAAGAAAGAAAGACTTGCTCAGTTTCCCACTTTCTCGGACTCACACTTTCTAGTATGGTGCCTTAACAGTAGACCAAAGTGACTCATTTAACATTTTTTAATAAAATAAAAAAATCTATAGAATATTTAATAAATGGATATTAGAGTATGTTCAAAGAGACATATGGATTAAGGAAATGAAGTATCAATTACATACAAGGTAAAACATTTTTGCCATCTCTAGGTCACATTTACATAATTTAAAATATATAATTCATTCAAATTCATATTTCTTATCTATTTTACAATAATGCACATCTTCCAGAAGGAACTGAGGAGTTCATGCAGTTGTTGTACTTGTGGTAATCAAAATGTATCACTGCTCATGTGTTACTTTCCTATGCTCTAGTGGCTCCTTTTGAGACATAAATTATTTTGCATATTGATTGTGCTCTGGAAGGTCAGGAGTTATTGCAGATGCTCATGTTCTTTTCAATTATAGGCTACAGTTTGAAACTTAGAGCAAGACAATGAAAATGGATACTTTCTGCTTCTATAATTAAAATCAAAAACTACAAGGTTGGAAAGAAATTAATTTTTGCCAGTCATTCAATGATACAAAGGACTTACCTCTCTTTCTATACTAAAACAAGCATTTTTATACAAGAACCCTTATTGCAGTACTATTTAGAAAATTAGATCTCATATACCAATTTATGTGTATAATTTTCTATTTTTTTTACTACATTTAAATAGAAATAAATATTGGATGGCAATTGTGTAGCATGACATGAATGTAGATTTGTATAAGAAGTATGCTTCTGAAGTTTTTATATTTTCCTTGATGCTTTTATGAAAATTAAAAACATAGCACATGAATGTTTATATTAATTACAGAATTAATGAAACAAATGAGGTCAACTAACACAGTCATAAATTACCATGTAATATAGTAATCAGGCTTTTTTCATCTTTGCAATACTTGTGTCTGCAAAATGTATGTTTTGGAATTGAAATTCTTGGTAACTAAATTTTTTGAAGTGACTTTTGCTATATTGAATGAGAAAACATTGAGGAAGATACTGTCTTCATATTCTGTGGACAGTGATAAAAGTTGCCAGTTTTCTTTTAGAAGATAAATTAAAGTAAAGCTATCTTTTCCTTGAAATCACAACACAAGATCAATAATAAGAAAAAAGAGAAGGCATAGAGGAGAAAGTCCTTTCAGATAGGACCAGAAATTTTCAGCTGCTCAACAAGTAACTTTGTTCTCTAGATCATCCTATTACATTTTCAAATTTTTCATTTAGCGACACAATTGGGACCACCAAGTGAAGCAATTGCTAAGTGAAACTTAATTGGATGTACAATCTTACTTCAACTTTTATGTGCTTTACAGACCTCTGAAGGTTATAAATGCAAGGATTGGTTGCAAGGTTAACTTTTTGATCACCATTGTGATCAATCATTAAATAAGGACTGGGTATATTGCCTTTCTTCTCAGGTAGAAAAAGCCACCTGGCATGGAATCTCTGAGTTTCCAATGTGTGTGTGGGCCCTCTATATGTATAATAATTTTCATGTCATTACTCATTGATATTTACTACTTTATTTTTTAAAAAACCAGGAACCATGATGTAAGTGAAATTTGGCAGAACTTGATATAATATACAAAGGCAAGGAAGCAATAATTGGTTCTCAGAGATGTCTAAGAGCATTTCTCCATCTGATATAAACCCCAGAATCTTAAGTCTAGTTAATAACTTTAATGTATTTATCACTAAAACATATATGGAATGGATACATAACAGCCTGAATATGCTCTGATCAGATTTAGACAGTCTGTCCTTCATTTGTCTGACAGGAAAATGCCTACAAGTTACTGTAAGTCTTTGTATAGAAAAAATCCATTTGTTCTTTGGAGAACCTGGGGATTGAGAGAGAAAACTGCCTGGTGAAATAAAATCACAGCAATGGATGATATATGAACTTGCACTTAGATGGTTACATGTTGTAGTCAGAAAGCTACACTGAGTCACACCCTGTCAGAATCATTTTGTTGTCAGTTTAAAGGAAGAAAAACCTTGTTCTAACCTTGTTTTCTGGTTATATGATTGCGCATTGTATTGTTACAGGTTGCATTCTGACCTGTTCTTGTGTATATGAATTCACTCATTTATAGAAGGGATTAGGAACCTGTAGATGTCATTGCTGAAGAAATGGAAGGATATTGTCCACTTTTTCCTTTTTAAATTGCAGCTTCTGTTGCTTTCCCATCTCTAAAATAGTTTTTGATAAAGGCTTCAAATTGAAGAGGGAATTAGCAAAAATTAACCTTTCTTCTTGTAAGAGAGCCCAGTAAGCATAAATGTGCTCATGAATTATCTAAATTTAACCTATTGCCTCAGAAACTAAATTCAACTAGATACCACACATAATGAATCAATTGTTGACCATTTGTCATTTGTTTAGTTGCATGGATAAGAGTAAATATTAAATATTCAAGTAATATTTAAAATAAAACTGATTTTGACTTTTTGCTGAAACTAGAATAAAGGAATCGGTCTTTTATGGGTTTAATAATTAGAAAGAGTAAAATATGAGAATGGGTAGCTTCCAGCCTTCTTTACAGGAGTTACAAATAAAGAGGAAATAAGACATTTATTTGTATCTCCTATAAAGAAGTTTGGAAGCTATTTCTTTTTACCTTTTTCTCTTTCTTTTTTTTTCTGTTTTATTCATCCCTTTACTCCCCACCCCCTTAAATTACTAAATATATTCTTTTCATTTCAGGTCCACAGATTATGGTACAACATATGAAAAGCTAAATGACAAGATGGGACTAAAGACAGTGTTGAGTTATCTTTACGTCAGTCCTACTAATAAGAGAAAGGTAAGGAAACTATTTCTTACAAAGTGAAAAATAAAGAAGTCCATTTAATCATTTGACAGTTCCAAATCTAAATCAAGAACATAATGTTGAAGATTTTTTTTTTGCAAATATAACTTTCTGTACTTAGCATCTATTTCCTATAGTTAATATACCAATTAATCTGTAGTTTATATACCAATTAGCCTCTAAATTTCAATTCTTATGTCTGGGAATGAGCCTCCAAAATGTCATAGAATTTTCTTCGTGCAACTATGTAAGCACACACAGAACTGGTATAAGATTTTATACAAATCTAGAAAGTAGATACATCTACTTTTAGATTTTTTCTCTTAGTGTACCTTTGATTTTTGCTTTATCTAAGGGACCAATGGCTTTCATGACTAGTTTTCTTTTTCTAATGTGTTTGAAGAATTTTTTGTTATTTCTCTGTTATTCTGGCAATATGATCCCCATTTTTTTTTCTACTTCCCTCACTGTAACATTTTAAAAAGATTTTATACTGCTTGTTGTTTTAATCAGGGCAGATCCTCTACTTTCTAAATGATACTTTCTTGACCCTAAAAACTTTATTCCTCATGCAACTTCCCAGTATGGTTCATTTATTCTAAATTTTCTATAGAATTCCTAAAATTAGCTTCATTATGCCAATATGCTGCTTAGTTTTAGGCCATGAAGTTAGTTTAGCACTTCTAATTCAAAATAAGCTTATGAGCATATAATTAGATGTTAAGGTAGTTATATATGTTTTAATAATGCTTGCCTTTTTAATAGTAACTTTATTAAGAATTATAATTAGAACAGTAAAAACTAATGCAAACTGAAAAACTAAAAAAATAGAAACAGTAGATGCATAAAAGAAAAAAAAAGAAAAATAGAATGAGAAAGAGAGAAAAAAAATAAGAATTCAGTGAAGAACATTGAAAGAAATATATAAAGAAGTGACTTCCAATCTTCATTAAACAAGTATAAACAATTTTAGCAATTTTTCACCTTTTCTTAAAATACAATAAATGAAGTCTTCTTCTTGTTCAGAAGAGCCAGTCTATTTGCTGGATCTTCTTTCCACTGTAGTTGTTGGCTCTGCTTTTCATGGAGCCATCTGCAGTCTTCCATTTCTTCCCTGGAAATCAATCATACTCATTTTAACTGAAGGAGTTTTCAGTGAGATGACCCAAGAAGTAAAAAATAATGTATGATATGATCTTCTTCTGAACTATGACAAGCTCCACTCCTGGTAGTAGCCCATGGCAGCTTACGTTTATTAGTATAATACTATGGGGTTGTCATTTCATTGCATCTCCTGGTTAGTGAGATATAAATCAGGGCTTTTCAACCTTTTTACAGATGGTACCACTTTTAGGACATGACAATATTTGAGTACCACCAGTGCTTAGCAAGGTGTCAAAAACTTGATGACTAAAAAAAGGGGGGGAATTTGGGTTTTATTGATTAGATTCATTTGTTGTTATAGAAATGGCTACTTTATAATATTATGGAAAAGTAAAAAGTTGAGGTTCAATGTTAATGCTTCCTTCTATTGCAACAGAGGAAGTCTGTTATTTTTCCCTTCTCCTCCTCACTTCCTCCCCTTTTTCCTCCCCACCGTGTCCTACTATTTGCTTTTGTATTTTATTCTATAATCTAATAAAATATTACAAACTGTAGAAAAAAAGAAAAAAAGTACCAGCTTTAATTTCTTCAGTGGCTGTTCCTTTGCTGAATCACTTTCCCTTTGCATTGACAAATGTATGATAAATTTATCCATGTTTATTAATATGCACCACTACCAGCTAGCTCAGGAGTCTTCAAACTCAGCATTTTTAAGCAGTGCTTTTTTTGTAAAAAAAAAAAAAAAAAAAAAAACCAGTGCCGGAATTCACACGTCATATAACCCGCTTTGCCTACCCTACAAGGTTCCATCCAAAAAGTGCTGGAACTCCGTTCTGGACGTTCTATGACAAAAAAGCCCTGCTTTTAAGATTTGTGGACTTCAACTCCCAGAATTTCTCAGCCATCATGACTGATTGAGGAATTCTGGGAGTTGAAATCCACAGGTCTTAAAGTTGCTAAGTTTGTAGACCCCTGAGCTAGCTGGTCGGCCCTTCTTCCTCTCTTCCTTCTGAGTGTAGTAAGAATGCACCCTCCCATCTTTTCCCTGTATCCTTAAAGATAGGGCTCACAAAATAAAAAAACACATAAACTCCATTTTTTTCTTTAAGCTACCTCAGGCAAGTCACATGTCACAATGTTGCAATCTGAGACTGAAAGGCTCTGGCAATTTGCAAAAAGCTTTAGCCTTAAATTAAGCCTGTTTACCTTCAAGAAAACTTTCTAAAAGCTATAGACAGACTCAAGATAAGTGGGTAAAATTAATTACATTTGTTTAAAGGGATTAAACCTATGGAAGTCACTTTGGACTCATTGCTAGCCTAAAATACAGACTAAAATATTCCAATAATGAAAGCACACAAACTGAGCCTCTGAATTACAAAACGCTGTAAAAACTGTACAAAAATCCTTATGGTAACCTAATCAAACTGCCAGCTGATCCAGAACTAAATAAACCCACCTCCTTTCCAACATGCTTGTCTGCCGGCTTCAGCACTGATTGCATTCTCCTGGCTGAAGAAAATGAATCAGGGGATCTTTTCTTCCAGCAACAGCTGCTGCTTCTTCCCTGTCCCTGTTTCCTCCCTGCCTGCTGAGTTCTCCTCCTCTTTCCCTATTGTCTTTTTTCTCCTTTCCCGCCCAAACCACCTCCTTTTATAGCTTCTCCTCTCCTCTCCCTACCTTTTTCTTCAGTTCACCTCCAGCTCCATGCTGCTTCTGGAAGTGCCAATCAGCTGGAGCCAATCAGCTGAAGTCCTGCTGGCTCCTGGGGCTTCTGCCAGCCCAGACAGTCCTGCAGCTGCCTCTCCCTCAGGCTTGGGTCGCTTCAGCTCATTCCCCTCCCCCACTATATTTGTTTAGGATGGTCGCGTACCACCTGCCATGTGGCAAAGTACCACAGGTGGTATGCGTACCTCTGGTTGAAAAGTCCTGATATAGATAACATTATGTTAAGAGCTGTGGTGGCACAGTGGTTAGAATGCAGTACTTCAGGCTAACTCTGCTCAAATTGCCAGGAGTTTGATTCCTTTGATCCTGACTGGCTCCAGGTTGACTCAGCCTTCCATCGTTCTGAGGTCAGTAAAATGAGGACACAGATTGTTGGAGGCAATATGCTGACACTGTAAACCACTCAGAGATTGCTGTAAAGCACTGTGAAGCAGTCTATAAATCTAAGTGCTATTGCTATGTTGCAAAATATTCTCTCAATTTGAGGTCCTAACTTGAATAGAAATACTTAGTAAAACTTAGTATTTATTGTACTTAGAGGCATATGGGCTTGAATTGGCCCAAATTGATTAGTATTATCCTTCTTAGAATAGAATGCAGCATATTGGCACAGGTTGAACTCATATTGGTAACCTAGTCTTCTCTAAAACTGTTGTGCCAAAGCTACAAATGGCAGAAAAGTCAATAACCAGAGGCCTGTCTATTAATGAACAGATTGAATTAATTTATGAAATTAATTGAAGAAATATAAATGTAGTGTGTATTCAAGACACTAAGAAAAAAAGAAAGGAGGCTTACATCTGATCAAAAGTGGCCTGGTTTCATTGGATTCAGCTGATGAAGAAAAGCATGGAAACAAAAAATATCTATTTAATTATAAACGAAAATGCTAAAAGTTGTATGCTACAAAGTACAGTATTATTTCTCATCAAGATTGCTGTATGCATTTGAAATGTGGTTGATGTTTACACGTTGCACCCTAAATCACCTGGAATTCTAGAAATCTACAAGGCCATTATCAATCCATTGAAGCACTGAAGATATCTTGTGCCACAGAAAATGAAGGGGAGAAAGTTTATATTTATTTGTTAAAAAACTCAATTTGTGTGGATTTCTGACATTTGAAAAATTCAAAATTTTTTAAAATTGCTTCTTTTCTTTTAATAACTCATTGTGTTTTCCAATATAGGAATACATGTGTTTTTTGAGGATCACATGAATGATTATGCCTTCTAGCTTTGGAGATAAGAGTATAATTCTCCCCAAACTTTTTTTTTTTGTTCTGTGCTGCTCAATAAAAGGGGATTGAACGAATCATAGTTTTTGAAACCCTGTTTTTCATAAAATTTCCTATCTGTATTGCAATTATATTGGGATGATAGCCAATTGGATCTACCTGTGTCAGTGCCAGGTACATGATGAAGGTGAATATAGAGAAACATGTCTATCTCAAAATAACAAAACAGTCTAGTAAAGTTTGGGAATATAAGTGAAAAATAATTTGTCTTTGTTGAACTGAAGCTGAATAAGTAGAGAAAAGAATATTTGTCAAAACTTGAATAATATGAATTGAGAGTTTCAACTTTGTCCCTTTATATTTTTAGATAATTGGATTTGCTTACATGAATGGTTGAGTTTTATCTTTTAGATTTGATTCACAATGTTAGTTATTCATCATTGCCTTTATAAAAAACAAAGATTCAAAAAGTATGTATTCTAAGGATTAAAATCAACTATTTTTCAGATTAATCTTCTCTTTAAATTGCCTTCATGAGTTTAATTTTGTAATGTTCCATATAAAGTGGCAATTATAATATTAACTGATTAATTTACTAATTAAATTAATCCCTTGAAGCATTGCAGGAATATTTTAGCAAGCAATTGCTATGATCAAAAGAGTATAAACTGAAAATCTCTGTTGTTCTTTCTCTGAGAATAAGTATATTTCAACTACAGTATTTATAATTGTCTTGTTTTCTATTTCCTTTATTCTATTATGGATAAAACTTAAAAACACGTGCATTTTAATTTAGGTTATTAAGGAATATAACGTGAAACCCAACACCCAGATTTTTGAACCTTGGTGAATTTGTCCTTGCCTTTGTGATATCTAATTTGTACAGTTTATCATATTTTGATTAAAAACAAAAGTTACATGTGGA